TGTTGTGCACAAACACAATAATCGCGCGCACACACGGACTTAAAAGTGATTCAGCCGGCGGGAAGGTGATAAATTCTAGGAAGAGAGGAGATAAGACAAAGATAAACGAGAGAAACAGAAATCGAAGGGGAATAAGTCCACATCTTTAAAAATAATTTCACATAAAAAATCACATCTTTCAAAAAAAAATAAATAAATAAATAAAAAATAAATAAAATAAAAAACGCAAAAAAATGACGCGTGGGCAAAAGAATGAAATAGTAATTGAAATTGCAACCTGTGTACAATTTTGCGGCGACTTTCCCCTCCCCTCTCTTCATTAAAAATCGGCACCGTCGAAACAAGATCGCGAGCAGATACGAAGATAAAGGCCAAGTCATCGGACACCCCGTATTCCTCGATCCTTCATCACGATCCCCGTTTTGTAGAGTACTTGAATCACGTCGGTACGACACGACAAAGGGATCCGGAAGGGCGGGGGGGCCAGGGGGAGTGTAACGATTGTGAGCTGGACGCGTTAGTCATTGATACATTTTAAAGCGAGCTGTGTATCGGATGACTCATACGTAATAATCGTCATCGACAGCTGATCCAGATGCGTCGTGCGTTGTTCAGAAGCGCGAGCGAGGTTCCCCTTCGATTAGGCCACCTCCTCGTGTGTGGCACCCTTAAACGGAAAGGGGGATGAAAAAGCGTACAATAGAAAAAATACAGCAACTCCCCTCCCCCCTCGGCTTTCGAGAGAGCGATGACTAATTCATTAAGCTCCGGCTTCGGCTTCATTTATTGACTCTAAATGCTCCGAGGCAGTTTCCTCTCTTATAATCGCGCGCTTAATAGAAACACATTATCACAAATTATAAAGTTAATTTATGCAAATTAAGCATTTTTTTTTTGCTCGTTATCGCGGTATTTTGTGAATGATTTTCGTAAGCCCTTCAAAATTAAATTATCTCCACGTATTATCTCCGCCGAACATTTGAGTTTACCGATTCAAACACCCTATCATCTTTCACCGCCATATGTTCAATTAAACACGTGTTAAGATCTTTAATCCATAATTAATTTCGATCGTTACTCACAGTTGAATTCTTTTGAAAATTATTTGAGCAATTTGTTTGCTCAAACTTCGTTTTGTTTCCAAGTGTATAATAGCATCAGCTTTTTAAGCTCCACTAGAGTGCATAGGTTTGCATAAAGCTTATTTGTACAAATGATAAAATCAAGCAAAACACGGTTTTAAGATGTTTGTTGTTTACAATTCTACAAAGAAAAGTCAAGAGAGTATTTCCTGACTTCTTTGAAAAAAATAAATTTATTTCAGTGAACAAAGATTTTCATAAAATGTGGTATCTGTTCGCTTTTTGTATTATGATCGTTAACCGCTGAAATAAATATATTTTGTTCAAAGAAGTTAGGAAGTACTCTCTTGACTTTTCTGTAGAATTGTAAACAACAAACATCTTCAAACCGTTTTGCTTGATTTTATCATTTGTACAAATAGATTTATGCAAACCTATGCACTTTAGTGGAGTTTTAAAAACTGACGCTATTATACACTTGAAAACAAAACGAAGTCGTTATTATCGTCATTTGTCGTAATAAATTTATTATTTAATAATATAAATTTAACATATATGTGGATGTACAACTGAATCATTTTGACAGATTTTTTTCTCTAAAGAAAGTCGTCAAAAAAATATATATATATATATATGGTCACTGTCAAATATTTGTAACGTATAAAATAAGCATTACAGTAACGACATAGGAAACTTAACTCTCGTATAAACTTTCATTAATTATTGTTCTGATAAACAAAATCTCAAAACAAATGTGAACGTCGTGGAACAAATTTTATTTCTTCTATTGTGCGAGTTTTAAAATTCTGTGCAAAAAAAAGTCTCTAAGAATATATTTCTTCATTCTGTGGTTGTAAAAATAAATCCGAGTCGCACTTCGAGACAAAGGTCTTGAATCTTAAATACAATGCAACCGTTGAAGTTGCACTTTAAGTAAGAAAAAAAAATATATATATACATATATAGTGGCGAACTAACCGAGAAGTTTTACACCGCGGTACTATAAGTATAAAACATTATACATTATACATATTTATCGACGTCTCTGAAGAACAGACGTACACTCTGTCACATTTAAGTTTGTGCGAAGAGTTATTAAAATAAATTACTTAGAAAAAGAAACAAACTTGTTAACAATTTAAACGCACACAGACACACGCGCAATTGTTGCCAACGGAATCGTTCCAGCTGGCGCTTCCTCTCTCCGATCTCTTCACGCTGCTCGCGAACGAAATCGAGTCGCGAACACAATCGGAGGAGCTGGCACACCTGAAAGGGTTAAGGTCGCGGCGCACGATAGGAAAATCTCCGTTGCGCCTGACTCACGTCTAAATATCCTGTAAGAGAGAAAAAGAGAGATACGAGAGCAGGCCGTTATGCAATCGTGATTTTGACATATGGCTGTTCGTGCGCTTAGCCAGCGTAAACATGCCGTAGGGTCGATATACACGGTGACTCATTGCTTTCAACGTCGTAGTAGTGTCGTCGTCAACGTCGTTGTCGTCGTCGTCGTCGTCGTCGTCGTCTGAGAAAAATGCGATCGAGACCCGACCACAGACGCGCGCAATTTAAGCCTCGCCAAAACGAGCCACGCGACACTCTCCGGTCTTCTCTCGTTGTTTATAGGCGGCCGCGAATCGTTACTAATTATGTAATAACCGAGGAACGGTGGCGGTGTCAAATGTGACGCCAGCGCGGCGCAACGCGATAACGGAAAAAGGAATGGCTGACAGAACGACAAAGGTGTTTATACTTTTTATAACACGCGTGTTAGATAACCGGAGATATATTGTCTTCTGAAGTTATTAAAAATGTTGTTTCGTTGTTTAATTTATAGCGATACAATATACATACGTATACTTAATTAAATATCATCCGAAATGAAATTTCGCATACACGGTGCATCGATGCGCGACGCATTTATTTCCTCTTTCAAACCCATTTCAAAGATTTACATTCGTTGCGCAGAACGCGATATCGTTATCACGATCTGCGTTACGTCACACATACACACACGCACACAGAGACTGGAAAATCGCGTTTGTAGCGCCGCGTTTAGCGCGTGTTTTGAAAATATTTGAAAAAATTCGCGAGATTGTCGCAAATTTTTCCCGAGCGAATCTTTTCCCGAATACGATTCGCATTTCTCCTGTATAGCCCATGCGAAAACACACGGCGAAAGCGCAGATCGCGGCGCGCAAAATCTGTCCGACTATTCGCGGCGTCATCTCCGACGTGAGTCACTCCTATGAATAGATCCCCACCTTTCGCCTTCGTATATACGCGCCGACGGTGCGAGAGCGCGACGTTGTCGACGTTGTCGTCGTCCTCGTCGTCGTCGTCGTCGTCGTCGTCGTATACAATCGCGCGATCTTTTCGAACGGGTCCTTCCTGAGCGCGTTAACTTCCTCGATCCATCCGAATCCACCCTCAATCCCTCGCACGAGCAGATTTATCTCGCGAAAATCACGGGAGGGCACGTTTTCCGTCGAATTTATCATCTTGTCTGATATAGAATGTCCCAAAAAAAACTTGTACGCGCACTTTTGCTGGTAAATTCGATCTGTACTTTTTTTTTAAAGATATTTGTTTAACTTCTGTAATTAGATAATTTTGCACAATTGTTGAATAAATAAATTCCTCGAAACATCCTCTCACGCTTTTCGCATTGAACATTTTCGCAGAGATAAACTCGCGTTTTTTTTTCTTTCTAAATTTGCTGAATTTTTTTTGAAGAGATATTTCTGGCTTCTTTTTTCGGTTCAACTTAAATAGCTCCTCGAAAAAAAAAACGCAAATCGATTTTATCTCGAAAAGACGATATAATGATTAAAAAAAGACGAGATAGCTTGTGGACAAAGTTGAGCGAAAACAAATCGTAATTTAAACCGGTCAACGAAAAAACAAAAAAACAAAAAAAACAAAACTAAAAAAAAAACGAGACCGCAAAGAATTAATATGCGCATAATGAGCGACAGAAATAGTGACTGGAGAATGATCGTCGTAAAAGTTTTCGACGCGCGATTGGCGGCCGGCAGAAATATCGCGCTCGCATCATCGTTATTTCCGAAAACCAGAGACTCTCCCCTCCCACGTAGAGGACCGGATAGACGACAAACAGTTCGCCGCCGTTTTCGCGGCCTTTTCTCGCTTTTTGTAAACAAATTCCGCGCTACAAGAAAAAGATACGCCGAGAACAGACCGACCACCCGATCGATAGTTTCGATCATGTGTGCGACAGTTTATATATAAAATATATAAAAGAAACCGTCGTGAGACGATTATTCTAAGATTTATGGACTCACACTCGAAGCTGAATCACACTCAGGGAGTTTACAAAAAGAGATGCGATTATATAGATTAATATAAATTTAAGAAATTGATTTTAAGTAAACAAGGGTGAGAATGTGATTAATCATTACGTTTCTATGTAAGTTTCATATAACAGTTTATAAACAAGCACATTATCTGTAAAAAAGTTTGTCCAAGATATATAATTTCTAGTCGGTCATCTGATATATATCTTCGGATATCGTTATCTTGACACTATCAGTTGTTTTTAAATTTGACGATACAAAGAACGTATGACTTGATTATATTGCAAGTGTGTGCGCGATAAAAACAATATATATATATAAATAATCCAATTTAAACTGCAAGTATTTTTTCGCGAACTATATATAAACGTTTCGCTTTCGGATCTTTTCAAAGGGAACATCTAATTAACTGACGAACTTTCTTGTCCAGCCAAAATAAAATCGAAACTTAAACTATTACAATTTTCGAACGATCTTGCAAAGTCTTTTTGTTAAAAAAGTAAATTCGACAAGTGATATATCGAATTCTTTAACTAAACAATTAAATCGGCTCGAATTGTAGAAAGATCCGTACAAGATTCAAGGATCAAGAAAAACTTACCGATCAACAAGGCAGGTTCCCGATCGTCGTCCACTAACGCGGCGAGTACCAGGAACAACGGATGCTCGGCATCCAAGTGCTCCAGATCGTCGGTGCAATCGTCGTACACTATGACGTCCTTGAACTGTCTTCTTCTGAGCAGCTCCTTGCTCTCGCGAGTGGTCGCGAGATCGGCAAGGGTGGCCTTCCTCAGCAGGAATCTGCGACGATTGAAACGGTCCGAGCAGTTGATGTTGAAAGCACCGCGAATGTGATTGACATTGTACTGTATGAATGTTCTGCAATCGAGGATCACCGGCGGTTCGACGGAGAGCTGCTCGGAGAGACGCTCGAGGCATTGGGCAAAATCGTCAGGACTGATGACGCGAGTTTTGCTCAACACCAGCTGACGATGGAGGGTGCTGTTCTCCGAGCACGGACTGTTCGGTAAACTGGCAGACTCCAGCTTGCAACGTTTCGAAGTCACCGACAGGTGCTGATGGTGATGAAGATGATGCAAATGATGATGATGATGGTGATGATGGTAGTGGTGGTGGTGATAACCACGACGGTGAACTTCGTTGTTTTCGTCGTCGTCGTCGTTCGTCTCTTCGTCGATGACGATCTTAGGCAGTTCGCTGAGATTGCTGTTGCTGTTATTGTTGTTGTTGTTGTTGTTGCTGACGACAGAGGTGGAGATCGACAAGGCACTCGGTGAGGCTGGGAAGGCACAGGGACTTGGTCCCGGCTCGCTCAGACTGCGATTCAGCACGAGCTTCAGATTGGCCCGCGGCCGGCCAGCTGACACTGGCTCGCATAGCAAGGTAGACATGGAGGAGGACGACGGTGTCCGGTAAGGTTCCTGAGATCGGTGCTCGTTGTGGCCAAGGTGGTGATGGAGATGATGATGATTAGAATTCGCGTCGGCGATGCTCGCGTCGTGGCACAATCCTGCGGTCGGCGCTAAAACGTCATAAATTGCAATACGTGAGTACATCATCTTCTTTTTGCGTCACTTACAATTAGCAAGAAAACAGATGTTCCAGATGTTTCGCGCTCTTTTGCGCGTTTTGCGTAGTTCTTATGATTCACAATTGAATGAGTTATTATATGCTTCCATATTACGTAGTTTTGTATCCACTGTTTTAGTTTTAAACTAAAATGAAATAAGATAAAAAAGAGGAAACTTAAGACGTTTCATATTTTTTTACACGTGTTTTCTTTTGCTCGTTTAGTTTCTTGAAATTAACAAATTCTCCAGAAGTGCAAAACATCTCCGAAACTTTTGAGAAGAATAGATAATTAGTTTGATAATCTATTTTTTTTTTTTTCGAATGTTCCATCAAACGAACACCAATCAATTCTCGAAAAATGTCTGAATTCTTAGAATCTTCTTATTTCTATGATGACTCTTCGTTATACCTTTTCGATTTCGATATTGAACGCGTGTTGTTTTAGAAACACGACAGCAAATTACGGACAGATATCATGGAATTTTCGGATCTTGCGTTATTCTGTTTCTTTTAGTTGGTTACAATTCTAATTTGGCAGTTGGACGATGACCAATGTCTCGCGCGTTACGAAAGATCTGTTGTAAGCGCGACGATGTACTAACTTAGAAATTACGTGATACACCCGGGATTTGCTAGCCCGTGCGATTTGTTTATTTTTATAAATAAATCGTCGCATATATCATCCCCGTGTGTGTGTGTGTGTGTGTCTGTGTATGTGTGTCACCCCATTTTGGATTTTCTGCATCCGCATTTCTCGGATTTTCGCTTTCGCATTTTTCGCGGGTTGTCAACAAATTTCTATACAATTTGTTTGAAAATATATGAAAAACAAATGTAATAATCTTAAATTGTACAAAAGTTTCCGTGAACTCTGACGTAAGATTTAAGATGTACGTCTTCATAATAAAAAATATTTAAATCTACCGTGTGCTAATAAGAGGATCCAGTTGAGACTCTGCCGTGGGAATTTAAAACGAGTGCAGATCTTTGAACTTTCAACTCTCTCACAAACTACGTTTATAAATATTTGCGTCTGTGACTTCTTGGAAGCGTAAACTCTCCTCTCTCATCGGATTCAAGAAAGTATAGTTCGAATTGGATCGAACACAGAACGATACTCGTTCAGAATCGACGGCCGATTAAACGGGAAACCATCGATTCTCTCTTTCTCTTACTCTTTTTTTCTTCATCTCTCTCTCTCTCTCTCTCTCTCTCTCTCTCTCTCTCTCTCTTTCTCTCTCTTTCTGTCTCTCTTGCCCGAAGAGAGACCGCGTTCTCCCACTTCTCTCTCTTCCGCCATCGAAGTTTCTCTCCCGGCCCCGAGAAGTCTTCGGGTTCGTTCTTTCGAATGAGTAAACGCTGTGGAATTCGACGCTTCGAGCGGCAAGTGGGACCCCGCCGACTAGCGATGGGCCCGATACCCTCGCAATATATATACTTCTATCGATATCTAACGTTTGAGCGAGCGCGATCGCTCAAACAGGTATTATCAAACTCGAGAAAGTTGTGCGAAGGTACGTTTACTTGCAAAAAGTCGATAGCGTTGAAATATTAATTTGCATATAATTAGCATAACACGGAAACTTTCCACAAAGAAAAAACTTTAAACATGTTTGCTTTTTCTCTTGTTTGTACGCAACATTCGTATGTATTTGCGCAAAAGTTTTTTCGCAAAAATTGCTCATTATTTACACACTTATGTGTTTACTTTATATAATAAATAAATTTATGCAAGTTTTAAAATTTCTCTCACACTCGCGGATATATCCGCATTTATATCCGACGTATAAACGACATTCGATCGAGAAACAGAGAATTTATAGTAAAACAATAAGAAAAAATTAACAAATTCCGGCTAATTAATGAGCGCGCTTGAGATCGCTTTTATATTCGTCAAAGAGTGACCGTCATCGACAATTAACGCCGATAGTCCGCAAACGCCTATGACGCGTAAATGAAGTAATTTATTGCAGCGCTGACTAAAACAAAGATAAAGGTATTTGTTTGGGACTACTCGCGACTCGCAACCTGACTGGGGCATTCAGCTTGCGGACAGGTGTAGCACCGACACCTGCCATCGTACGGAATACGTTGCTTCTCGGCGCGTTTCTCTCCCATTCACTCGAAATGAACGATAATTTCTCCGAATTAATCTCCCTTCCCTCTCCGTTCGTCTCTTTTGTATTTATCCTCACGTTTTCGTACAATTCGCGGAGGCGACTCGTTGTATAATGTATTTGCCGCGCAAATATCGCTTCAAATAAATCTCTTCCAACGAGAGTTTATCGAAGATTCGAAACGAGATCTCGAGATTTGGCGCACGACAAATTCCCGTCTAATTTATACTTGTTTATCGCTCTCTAACTTTATAACACTTGCACATTTCTCTGACGATAAAATTAATTGAAAACAAAAATCGACGAATTTTTGAAAATGCACTCGGAGCGCACACCAACCGCGTGCTTGCACTTTGAAACAACAGAGAACTAAAAAAAAAACTAAAAAGAAAAACTGAGTGGGCTAAGCATTTCAATTAGACTTCTAATTTAAATTACAATCACGCTTCCGATCTACGTCCGGTTCGCAATTAAAGTCGGCAATTAATTAAAATAACCGGTACATCTGCGAGCAATTAAAAGGTACAATCGCTCTAGTTGCATATTTTACATCTGTCAACTTCGAAATGAAAAAGAATCGTCCGTTGTTCGTTCTTCTGTAAGAAGATGTTTATAAAAAAAACACACCTCGACTCTAATTTCTGCGAAATATTTTCGCACACATTTTTCGCGTGAAACCAAATCTCCGGAGAGAGAGAGAGAGAGAGAAAGAATACAAGGCACCCTGTACTGTCGGGGACACCTCGCGTGTCCACACGACGCGAGAGGGAATTCGGAAATCCGAGGAGGAGTCGAGAAGGGAAACCCTCTCTCGCGGTTACACACCTTGCATCTACATGTCCGAGAAGCGAAAAATCCGCTGTAAAGTGTCTGGAAATCCAATGACAGTTGTGTCCGAGAACACGTCCCAGTTTTCGACTTCGCACTGCCTCGAGAGCGGAAAAGCTCTCAGGCGGGGAAGACTCTTGTATCCAAGAAGAAAAATAAGTAGAGAACCCACGCACTTCCCGACGCGATTACCATCCACAGGATCGATCTCACGCAAGATCAAGAAAAATGGAGAAGAGATAAGGAGAGAAGGAGATCACTCTGAGGAAGGAAGGAGAGACAGAGAGAAAAGATCTCGGAAGGAGAGAGAGAGAGAGAGAAAAAAAAGAGAGATGAACCAACGTCGGGATGACGTCACGTGGGGTTCTCTCAGGAGAGCGCGATCGCGTTGGCCCAGGTGGCCCCGCGACGATGTTCAAGGACCAACATGGTGCCCTTTACCAACGGGGAACCGTACGCGTGAATTGTACACGCAAAGATATACACGCACGCGGGGGGAAAAAGATCTACGAGCGCGGAGAACGCGATCGATGCGGGGATCCTCTGCCAACGGCCGGCGAGAGAAGACTGAAGGAGGAGGTGAAGCCGCTGACTCGCCGCTGCTGTGCGCGCGGCAGCAAACGACGACGACGACGACGGCGGCGGCGGCAACGACGACGAGGAGTTCGCCGGCGACGAGGAGAGCGGAGAACGTTGGAGAGGAGAGTGGTGAACGCGCGCGCTGCCCGGAGGAGACGCGGTCGCGCAAGGGGTGAAGGGAGTTCGCGGAGCTCTCTGCGCAGGAGCGTAATTTAACCCCCCATACCAAACCTAGCGCACACATCGGAATGCGCGGTTAAACATTTTCAGAACGGTCGGCTACGTTTTCGTTTTTTTTTT